CTCATTGACAGGCCTTATGATACAGCGCGCACATGCTAACCAATCGGCCATACAACCCCCCTTACTGTTCTGTTGCTACTGGGCTAATGAAGACGGGCATACTCCATACAGTGTGGCTATGAGGGCAAATTTGTCCAGACAACTGTACTGCTGCCTACTCTTATACTGAATTGCAACTGCCAAGGGATCTTTTTTACGTGTATGCAAATGAGTACACAGGACCTCTAGATTTTTCTGTCCCATCTGAACAACTAGACAGCTGTCCTGGCCAGAAAGCACTTTAGAGTATAAGGTCTATAATTTAGTCAAGTGGTGTGGTTTCAATTGCCAGCTTGTACGTGACAAGGAGTAGGTTGTCTGTCCAAACTCATGGATTTTCAACCAGTTTACTATCAATGCAAAAGACCCCTAGTGCAAGTGAAAACGGAATCATATGTTAGTGCCAAAATCACCTAGTTTGTGTAGATTGTTAATTGAAGCTATTGCTATTACTTTCTAAATTTATAATGACAGTTTTATTGCTACTTAAATTAATTTATACCAATGTTGAAATCGGTTTCCGAATTAAAACTTTCACAGCATTCCTAACCTCTCAAAAATGGATTCGTAGCAAAGGTGGCTAAGTGGGTAAGACATTGGCTCGCTAGCCCTGGAGGTTGCGTGTTCGATTCCTGCATTGGCCGAGAAAGTTCATCAGGATTTTCAGACATCGTTTGCCCTTGTTCATGGTGCAGGACGGAGGGCCTGACAAGGACAGAGGGCCTGACAAGGACAGATGTCTAGTTGTTTGGATGGTACGATAAACTGAGGTCCTGTGTATACATTGGCATGCACATTGGCAGTTGGAATTCGATATTAGAGCAGGCCATAGTGCTGCTGCCCAGGCAAAATTTCCCTCATAGCACACTGGCGTCTTCATTAGCCCAGTTTAGGAGCAGAACAGTAGGACGCTAAACCCCATTTCATTTCATTTCATTTAAAAATGGAATCCGGAAAATAAACAATCTTTGAACGACTTTTCTGATAATCATTGCAGCAGTTTTATATCGATCTCTCAATAAAAAGGAAATGTTCGACTTCCCGTGTTATAAACATTTTCCCTTGAAGAATCGTCGATTATAAAGCGATTATATTCTTGACATAAAATTCATTCTAAAATTAAAGCAAGGCCTTACCTGTGTGTCTGCCATTATAATAAGCCGTAAAATTCACGTATATTTTTTAATTAAACCCCTACTCCGTTAATAGCCTGTAAAACTGGGGTAATAAATAAATCGAATGGCCCAATATCACTTAACAAACTAAGATTTAACACCCTTAAGCCTCCGACAACTTACACATAACGGCGTCGTCGTCACCATAGTGACAACACAGGTACGCTTAGAAAAGACCCCCTCGTTTAACACTAAGTTTTTAATCAATCGGTAATATTTGTCCGTGTAAAAGCCGTTTGACTGTGTTATTATCGTCGCGCGTTAGACCTTTGTCCCAGAGCATTATCGCTAAACCGTTGTAGTGCATAATCGTGTGTTCTTATTGATGTTTTAAGCCTATAACCCCGACTTATTGAAGCGATATATTGGCATTCGAAAGTGTTTTCTTTTTTCGTCAAGTAGCAATGAGAAATGAAATGGCGTTACATGTCCTGCTTGTCTGATCCTACATACGTGCTATTGATTTAATGCTATGTGCTGTGAGGGGACATTTTGCCAGGACAGCGACACTGCAGCTATACGTCTCAGGGGCGGATCTAGGAATTTTGAAAAGGGGGGCGCCGCAAAATGAGGGCACTGACCGCGGAGACGCGGCACGCCGCTGAGAGGGGGGGGGGGTCCCGAAGAAAATTATCCGTCATTTCCTGCATCTGTAGCCATTCCAAGAGCTATTTGGCTGATATTTACGTGTAAGTAAACGTTCGGAAATCGTTGAAAAAGAGCCTTAAAATCGAGCAAAAACGCCAGTTCAACACGCGACTCGAAAATTGTCAAGGCGAGCGAGGCATTTTAACAAGATGCTATCATTGATGTCTGTCTATAGTCACTCTATAGGATTACGGCACCGTCAGCTAAACAACAAGAATTCGTTTGAAAGTGTGTTTGAGTCGATGGTTTGAGTCATTTGGGATCCCTGCAACGGGTTGGGAACGGACATATTTGGGTCTGAGAAAAGGCACTTTCAGCAGTAAAAAAGGGCACTGTCGAAAATTGGGGGGGGGGGGGAACCGGAGGACCCGGAGAAAACCCACGAGGTTGTACAGGCGACCCTACTCCTTGTCACGTACAACCGGAGAATCGAAACCATGTCAGTTGACTCAATGACAGACTTTATGACACAGCGCGCACGTGCTAACCATTCAGCCATCCACCCCCAGGAATTAGAGAAAGGTCCAAATTTGCGGGAGCCACGGTGCTTCAGCGAGTAAGACGTTGATTCGCTAACCTGGGGGACCCGTGTTCGATCCCTGAGTAGGCCGAGAAAGTTCATCGATATTTTCCGGCATGGTTTCCGCTTGTTTGTGGTGCCTCTCTCTCTCTCTTTCTCTCTCGGCACAATTCCCCTTATAGCACACTATTTGGCGTATGCCCATCGTCATTAGCATAGTCCGAGCAGAACAGTTGGGAATAGTATACACTACACTACGCACTACACCTGTTTGTCACGAATAACCAGTCGATAATATATACAACACTGCACTACACCTGTTTTTCGCGAACAACCAGTCAATATTACAATTACATGTACCAGTGTGAACTTGTAATGTTTTTACTGTAATCCGATTAGGGTGATGTTCTAATGGCCTTTATGTTAGTGTCTATTACACAGGGAACTTACAACAAGAATAAATTAAAGAGACAAATGGGATTTAATGTTCACACGACACAAACTAGGTCATTTCGGAACTAACACATGGGTGGTTTTTATGGTTTTAAATCTTATAATAAATAATTATTATTTAGACATTTATTCACACGAAAAACCCATAATTAACTATCTAGATCACCGAGTGGCTTGGATATTGAGTACATTAGATAATGCCCGCCATATCTGCGTTAAACACTTATATCCCCGACCAAGGCGAAATTTTCCGGAAATACATGACATCACTCACGGAGACAGCCGATAAAAGCCCTGACAATAGAGAGAGAGAGAGAGAGTTAACGTCTATTCAACAGAAACTAGGTCATTTCGGGACTAACATACGGTTTAATTTTATTTCAATAATTCGCTTGCGTGTAGGGGTCTTTAGCTGTGGAAGGAAACCGGAGGACCCGAAGAAAACCCACAAGGTTGGACAGGCGAGCGTACTTCTTGTCACGTACAACCGGGGAATCGAAACCACACCAGTTGACTCAATGACGGACCTTATGATACAGCGCACACGTGCTAATCATTCGGCCATCCAACCTCCACCTTACAATGGAGTTGTACCCAAATATATAAAAACATTAATTACATCCACTGTCTGAACCCAGATAATATCCCAATAAGAAAATATTAGTGGTCTGATAAACCATTGATTACTTCCCTTTATAATTTTTGCGGTATTCCACCCGCTGTCTGAAACCAGATAAAAGTAGCCATTCATAAACTTGCTCAGAATAAACTAATTTGATTAAAATTTTCAATACATTCATTTTATATTATCTTTTTAAAGGGACAATAACACTCTTGCTGGCTTGACAGTTCCAGAAAAATAAAAAATATCTCTATCTAAGTACTAGATGTTTAAGTGTCCTACCTGTTGTGTAAATTATCCATTACATCCTATTTTACTTGTCCAGAGGGTTCGAAAATATTTTTAAATCGAAATTTCATTTGAAAAGGTTTACGTTAGACGTTTCAAACCATCATGTTGAATTTTTCAAAATTTTTAAATAAGGTGTGTTAAGATGAAATTTGTATCATCAATTAATTGAAATATTCTAAAATAGTACAATTTGTTGACAAGAATAAAGATTGGGACATATTATTCAGTTACAACAAGATTGGTATTGAGCCTTTAAACTATTATGGCAATAACGACCAGCCTTGTTTTTGTTGTTGTTTTATATTTATCTAAATCTTACATAATGTTTCTTTAATTGACATATAAAATAATCAGAGTGTCTGATATACTGCTATAAATATTGTCATACTATTGTTTATTATCATGGACTATCTATTGTATACCGGTATATATAATTAAAGCAACTCAACCCATTCGATGGCATCATCAGACAGAAAAATCAAAGACATACGCCATGGTCACCAACTTCTAAATCACAAAACTAAAGCTGATGGCCATCACTTGCAGTGCCATTTTATATGCTGAACTGTATAGTTGAAAATTTGGCGCAATGCGTCGACCGTGTAACAGAAATCAGTCAAATTAAAAATTAGGGGTTTTTTTACCAACCAATTTTGACCCCAAAATGCCTAATCAATTACACATTCTGTGTGGTTTCTTCAGTCTTTCTGTCATGGTGCAGTTATCCTGTCATTCTGTGTATAAACTATCCCGTGTACCCCGTGCACGTAAAAGATCCCTTGGTAGTTGAAATTCGATATACGAGTAGGCCATAGTGCCGCTGCCCGGGTAAAATTTTCCTCACAGCACACTGTATGGCGTATGCCCGTCTTCAATAGCCCAGTAGGAGCAGAACAGTAGGACGTTAAACCCAACTTTATTTCATTTCATTTAAAAATTGTGTCTAGTCATTCGTATGGGACGAAAAACCGAGATCCATCCTTAAACACATTGGTGTGTTCTTTAAAGAATCACTGACAGTTGGAAATGGTAGCAAGTAGGCGGAAACGCTGCTGTCCGTACAAAATTCTACCATCGTGTCGAGATATAAGACTAGGTCATAGGGCAGAATTTCCCCCATAGCACACTGCATGGCGTATGTCTGTCTTCATTAGCCCAGTCGGAGCAGAACAGTACGACGTTTAACCCCTATAAATTTCATTTTGTGTATAAACTAGAGTTTTTAAAAAAACAAATGAAAAACAAAAATCACAACAATTTTCCATCTTTATTTTTTATGACTGATCATAAGATCATCTAAATGGAAATAAGTTCAGCTGCCTCGATATGGTCAGTGTTTAGCATTTCAAGTCGAATATCTTTGTATTCTGAAAAAGAAAAAAATACATCAATATTTCATATTTGAAAATGAAAATCGGCCCAGGGCCCTGTTTCTCGAAATCTTAACTAAAGATAAAATCCAAATTTTAGTAGATACTTCAATCTTGATTGGCTAAGCACTAAAATCAATCTAATATTATCCAATCAAATGACTAAAATTTGGATTTTATTTTAGTTAAAATTTCGTGAAACAGGCCCCAGATGCCTAAGATATATTTAGTGGCATTTCTAAAAGAACTCCATACTAAACCTACCCTGTTTATCTACAATTAGCTCCGCTTGAGAACAGACACTAAGCTAGTTGACCGACATTTTAAGTCCTATATCAACGATTTTAGTCCAAAACACAAAGTATACTTCGAGAATTTATTATTGCCCTGCCTGCTGGTCAGTTAGCTAGCCCCATACTGAACATACGCTGTCTGTTTGAGAACAGAGACTAAGCTAGTTGACCGACATTTTAAGTCCTAGCTCGACAGTTTTAGTCGAAAACACTAAGCATATTTCGAGAATTTTGAGAAGTATATATTCTACTTTCATTTACTAAAATTGAAAAGATTTAATTAGTCTTTTTGTGTATAACAGATGTGAACCGGAGTAGGACCGCATTATAAAATAGTATACTGATTGTTGGATATGGCAGCCGTTTAGGGGAGAGATCTATTCCCCAACTAGAGTAGCTAGTTCTCTGAGTGCAGAGTGAAAATACACAAAAGTTTAAAGGAGAAAGAAATGCACAAACTATGCCATTTCGGGAGAAAGAGAAATGGGGTTAAACGTTCACTGGACTCAAACTAGGTCATTTCGTGACTAACATATGGTTCAATTTTATTTCAGTAATTCGTTTACGCGTAGGGGTCTTTAGCAGTGGAGGGAAACCAAATGAAATGAAATGGAGTTTAACGTCCTACTGTTCTGCTCCTAACCTGGGCTAATGAAGACGGGCATACGCCATACAGTGTGCTATGAGGGAAATTTTGCCCGGGCAGCGGCACTACGGCCTACTCTTATATCGAATTCCAACTGCCAAGGGATCTTTTACGTGCACGCCAATGTGTACACGGGACCTCGATTTTTCGTCCAATCCGAACGACTAGACAGCTTTCCTTGTCAGCCCCTCCGTCCTGCATCACTGACAAGGGAGAACCACGCCGGAAAATCTGGATGAACTTTCTCTGCCAATGCAGGGATCGAACACCCGACCTCCAGGCTAGCGAGCTAGCGTCTTACCCACTTAGCCACCGTGATCCCCAGGAGGGAAACCAGAGGATCCGGAGAAAACCTATGAGGATGAACAATCGACCCTATTCCTTGACACTAAGCCACTTGATTCAATGACAGACCCTATGCACCAAAGCTTTAAACCATTTGGCCATGCTAGCTGTCGTTCGGGTGGGAAGAAAAAACGAGGTCCCGTGTACACATTGGCGTGCACGTAAATGATCTCTTTTCTGTTGGAATTCGATATAAGAATAAGACGTAGTGCCGTTGTCCGGGCCATATATTGATCTCACAGTACACTGCATGCACAGCAGGAGCAGAGGTGTAGGACGTTAAACCCCATTTTATTTCATTTCCCACCGCAACTGAAAATTTTGTAATATATCTCCCCTTAGTTTCAATGCTGTCCCGAGGCAAGTCCCCGTAACCCCATTTAGATTCGCTACGCTGAACCCCCGAACCCTCCTCACCCCTTTCCTCCCACAGCAATATGAATTTCGACCCAATAGGTCTGAGATGAAGGTGAAACCGGAAATCTCTGAGAACGACCAGCGAGGCCAGACCACAATACAAGATGGTGGCAACTTTAAATGTTAGCTTGAGTTTACCTTCTGGGTCTATAGCCATGTCACCATTTTCATCACCATTGCGCAGAACTTCCTCTACTTTCGCTTCCGGTATTTTCTCTTGATGGAAGAAGTTACGTAGATTGGCGAATTCAGCCTCGCCTTTTATGAAACCATCTTTATTCAAATCGTGTTCTTGCATAAATCTCGCCCACATATCATCGGCTTAAATGAAACAAGATTAAACATGCATTATGCAAGAGCAAAATCTGCTTATTACAAGTCTTTCTTTAGGCCTGAAATGTTATCAAAATTATCAATTAGACATTAATTAACTTATCCAGACCATAATAAACTCTCGATGTCAAGGCTAGCCATCGATGTTGGCTGGATTAGATTCCTATATGCCGCTAACGGCCATTAATAATTAAATCAGAAAAAGTGGATAATCGAGTCTATGCTGTTTATATTAATGTTTTTTGTAAAGATGACCGAGACTATGCAAAAATTTCACCCGCTTCTTTCTCCGCTCATAGTGGATCAATTTGACTGAAATTTTCAGCAAATTACCCTTACACTATCTAGTTTTTTAAACTATTTTAGCGAGAACTGCCATCTCTTTATCTTATCTCCCATAATGTATCTTTAAGTTAATATCCTTGAAGTAGCCAAGTCTCTAATCCAGTGGTTCTAAACCTTTTTTTGCCAACGGCACACCTTAGAACACATGAAAAAAATAGCGGCAAAATAAAAACATGATAAGTCAAACGGAATACACCCGTAGACAGAGACTAGTCATAGACACATATAATGACTCAAACTAAATAAAGAAAAACACAGCTATCAGTAGATACCAGTGAATACGCTCAATTGGGATCACGTGGTTTTTCACATTTTCTTAGTGTGCCGTTCAAAATTTCGCGGCACACTTAGGAAGATATCGCGCGGCACACTTAGCTAGGAAGATATCGCGCGGCACGCCGGCTGAGAATCACTGCTCTAACTCAATATCATCCAAAGTCTTCGACATTGAAAACACGACTTATTTGTCAATTTAAATCAATATTGATGTTATAAACTTCTGATATCCAATATTTAATACAAAATAAACATTTTACCATTGGTACACGAATCGTGTACCATAATGCGTTTCAATGACATTTCCAACAGGGGACTCGAAGAACGAGGCTAGACACATTCCACAAGTCATGTCAAACGGTGGCTCGCTAGTCGGAGTCGTGGGTTCGCTCCCAGTCCGTGAAAGTGCATCGAAATTTTCCGGCTTGGTTTCCCCTTGTCAGTGGTGCAGGACGGAGCCGCCTGACAAGGACAGCTGTCTAGTCATTTGGATGGGACGAAAACCCGAGGCCACATGTATACATTGGCGTGCACGTAAAAGATCCTTGGGCACACAACCAAATTCTTTGTCAAGTACTAGCCACTTGATTCAACGGCAGACCTTATTATACAACGCACACGCGTTAACCAATCGGCCACCCAAGTGACCCAACCCCCCTTTTCATTTCAGACAGAGAGCAAAACAAATAGGCTTACCGTACAATGACGTCACAGTTACCACTAAGACCAGTAACGTGATATCTAGAAACCGTGACATAGTGAGAAATCTATATACCAACCAGATCAAATATTTTGAAATATATCTGAAAGAAAGAAATTATCGATCAAATTCATAAAAAAAAAAACCGAAAGAAAATAAATATATTGATAAAATTATTCAAAAATCATTATTTTCATACAAAGCTCAGATTCCTCTTTCATAAATCGGTACAGCTAAATACGTAATAATAAAATACAAACAAAGGGACATTTTCTTCGACGACAGAGAAAATGAAATGAAATGAAATGGGGTTTAACGTCCTACTGTTCTGCTCCTATACTGGGCTAATGAAGACGGGCATACGCCATACAGTGTGCTATGAGGGAAATTTTGCCCGGGCAGCGGCACTATCGCCTACTCTTATATCGAATTCCAACTGCCAAGGGATCTTTAACGTGCATTCTAATGTATACACGGGACCTCGGTTTTTCGTCTCATCCGAAAAACTAGACAGCTGTCCTTGTCAGGCCCTCCGTTCTGCACCACTGACAAGGGGAAACCACGTCGGAAAATCTGGATGAACTTTCTCGGCCAATGCAGGGATCGTACACCCGACCTCCAGGCTAGCGAGCTAGCGTCTTACCCACTTAGCCACGTGATCCCCTCGACGACAGAGACAGAGAGAAGAGAGAGATGGGGTATACCGTCAACTCCACACAAACTAGGTAATTTCGGGACTAATGATAAATTTCAAACAAAGGGACGCAAGAAAGAGAGAGAGAGAGAGAGAGAAATGGGGTTTAACGTCAATTCGACACAAACTAGGTCATTTCGGGAATAACATATGGTTTAATTTTATTTCAATAATTCGCTTGCGCGTAGGGGTCTTTAGCAGTGGGAGGAAACCGGATGACCCGGAGAAAACCCACGAGGTTGGACAGGTGACACTACTCCTTGTCACGTACAACCGGGGATTCGAAACCACAAATTTCAAACAAACGGACGCATGAATGTAATTTATTATACGGCCCAGGGAACATTTTCTTAAAGATACATTATGGGAGATTAGATAAAGAACTGGCAGTTCTCACTATAATAGATAAAAAATAGATCATGTAAAGGGAATTTGCTGAAAATTTCAGTCAAATTGATCCACTCTGAACCGAGAATTTAGCGATTGAATTTTGGGCCTAGCCTCGATAATCAATATTCTCTTCTGTATGACGTATGTCCGTCTTCATTAGCCCAGTATAGGAGGAGAACAGTAGGACGTTAAACCCCATTTCATTTTATTTCATTTCATTTCATTATGCAAGAGCTAAATATGCCTATTGCAGGTCTTAAATTTTATATAATTAGACATTAATTAACGTGACATGACCATAATTAACTCTCGATTCCATCAAAATCCCGAAACAGGAATGTGTTCGAGTAATTGACAATTTTTCCTTCAATGCAGCGGAGGCCATTTGGGGTATATTTTGGAAATACATGACTTTTATGCAAGAGTACCAAGATAACCGAAACTTTGGGGAATGGTCGTACACATACTGTAGTTTAAGTCAAGCAAACTTCGTGACTGGGCCTTTATAGGATTTAATAAATTTTTTATGGGTTTGCTTGTTTGGGGGGGGGGGGGGGGCGTGAATGGTTAGCACGTGCGCGCTGTATCATAAAGTCTGCCATTGAGTCAACTGGTGTGGTTTCGAATCCTCGGTTGTACGTGACAAGGAGTAGGGTCGCCTCTCCAACCTCGTGGGTTTTCTCCGGGTCCTCCGGTTTCCTCCCACTGCTAAAGACCCCTACGCGCAAGCGAATTATTGAAATAAAATTAAACCATATGTTAGTCCCGAAATGACCTAGTTTTGTCGAGTGGACGTTAAATCCTCTCTCTCTCTCTCTCTTTCTCTCACTCTCTCTCTCTACCAAGATAACTGAAACTTTGGGGAATGATCGTACACAGACTGTAGTTTAAGTCCAGCAAATTTCATGACTGGGCCTGTATAGGATTTCATAAAATCTTTATGGATTCTGGTTTTTTTTTTGGGGGGGGGGGGAATTTTACGACTCAAAAATTTTTAAAATAATAATATATCAAAAATAAAATTTAAAAGAAAGAAAAGAAACATTGCACAATTAGCTATGCAATTATAAAAAGCAAACTCTTAAAACATCTAAACATCTAACAATTAAAATGACTTTTTTAAAAATGAGGTTTTAACTTTTTCTTTCCGGTGTGGTTCCCCCTTGTCAGGGATGCAGGACGGAGGGCCTGACAAAGACAGCTGTCTAGTCATTCGGATGAGACGAAAAACCGAGGTCCCGTGTACACATTGGCGTGCACGTAAAAGATCCCTTGACAGTTGGAATTCGATATAAGAGTAGGCCGTAGTGCCGCTGTCCGGGCAAAATTTCCCTCATAGCACACTGTATGGCGTATGCCCGTCTTCATTAGCCCAGTTCGGAGCAAAACAGTAGGACGTTAAACCCCATTTCATTTCATTTCATTTTTAACTTTTTCTTTAACCCCCCCCCCCCCCAAAAAAAAACCAAACTGTATTTTAATGAGATTATCTTAATTCACAATTCCCTTTCATACAAGACGGAAAAGATATTTTATAATATATTTTGGAATTTTAAAATCTAAAATTGAATAATGAAATCTCTTACCTATTAGACGCCTTTCTCGAGAGATTGTGTGTAGGCCTATCGACTCTTATTCTGCCGAACTTTGAACCACCAATCGTTGTTCTTGTTATATCGTTGGTTTTGTTATATCAAGGGGATTAGGTGTCACAACATGGCTGTGCATAAATTAACAGACGTCTAACGTGTAAATCTTGTCACATCTGGGGAGTGAAATCAACAGATTTACAACAGACGATCGATGCCAGAACAAAACTTTTCAATCGTTTAAGAAGAAAGGAATTTATTCATGATAAAATCGACTGTTTATATTATCCAGAAACTCAACTTTTATTGGGGAGCCACGGTGGCTCAGTGAGTAAGACTTTCACTCGCTAACCTGTGTTCGACCCCCCTGCGTTGGTGTGGTTCCCCCTTGTCAATGGTGCAGGACAAGGGACAACGTATAGTCGTTCGGATGGGACGAAAACCCGAGGTCCCGTGCACATAACAGATCCCTTGTCCGTTGGAATTCGATACAAGAGTAGGCCGTATTGCACACTGTATAGCGCAAACCCGTCTCCATTAGCCTAATCTGCGCAGAAAAGTAGGACGTTAAACCCCATTTGGTGCAACCACTCCGGAAAATCCCGATGAACATTCTGGGACAACGCAGGGAACGAAAATGGGACCTCCAGGCTAGTGAGCCAACTTCTTACTCACCCAGACCCCGTGTATCCCTATACAAACAAGCCAACAGTGAGGCTGATGTCCCCCACCGAAATCCCCAAATAAATAGATGACACATATTAATTAATCGCACATTTATTGTTTTCAAAAGTATCAAGCAATCAGACTGATTATCAACAATACACTACGTTTCATCACTCTTTATCAGATGGAATCAAAGTTATCTTGTCTCAAAGCATCGACCAATGAAATTGCTTAGCTATGGTTTACTTTAGTAATGAACATCTACATCAAGTTTAAACATTCTATAATACCTCCATTAAAAGCAGAGTTGTTATGTTCCAAAGTCTTGACCAATCAAATTGCTTATCGCTCCTTAGCCTAAGCAGAAAATTCTCATCATCGAACTTAGTCAAGGTAATGATATAATGAATCTATGCTCGGAGTTTCATCACTCTCACTTCATTATAACCAAAGTTATCGTGTCCTAGAGCATCAACCAATCACAATGCTTATCTATGCTTACCCTAAGCATACAATGTTTATCATCGATATCCATCAATGACCTAATGAACACCTACACCAATTTTGAACATTCTCGCTCAATTAGACGGACGGACGGACAGACAGACGGACGAACCCATTTTAATAGTCCCCTGCTTTCTTGGAAAGGCGGGGGACAAAAATAAGGCTTCTAACTTTACCCCTACATCGCAAGGGTAGGGCATCGGGGACCTGATCAGGGGTTCCGTGGCACGAATACCGGCCATAAATATAATTTAAGTGCTTCGTGAGACCCGGAATATGGGCCAATTGAGAGATGTCCGATCTTTGTAACTGGTCAAAGAATCCCTCAAAGGTCACCTTAAAAATACCAAAATATCTCGAGATAACATCGTCTCTTTCACGATATCTTATGTTTATAAAGCCAGGCTGACACTTGCACGACTTTTGGCCACGATTTTGTCGTGGCAAGTCGTGCCCATTTTGGGACACGAACTGGGAGCCTCCCGCACTGTTCACGACTAGTTCACGCATAGTTCACGACGAGTTCACGAATGCGTGCCCATCAGTGTCCACGTTGACACGACGAGGTCGCGCAATTCGGACGGTGTCGTGCCGCAGTAGTCGTGAACTGTTCGTGAACTAGTCGTGAACTAGTCGTGGCAGTTCGTGACAGTCGTGGCATGGCGCGCACTGTCACGCATCGTCCCGCGCATCCCCCCGCATCGTCCCGACGAGTTCACGAACAGTTTGCGCATAGTTCAAAATTCTCGTCCCGACATGGCACGCAGTCACGACGGGTTTACGCACACTTCACGCCAGTTTACGACTAGTTTGCGCACTGGCACGACTCGAGTCGTGCCAATGCGTGCCACGGAATCGTGCAAGTGTCAGCCTTGCTTTATAAATGAGAGAGAAGTCGGATTCAACATCCACTCGACACAAACAAACTAGATCATGTCGGGGACAAAAGCACCGGGCGGGGAGAGAGAGAGAGAGAGAGAGAGAGAGAAATGGGGTTTAACGTCCACTCGACACAAACTAGGTAATTTCGGGACTAACATATGGTTTAATTTTATCTCAATAATTCCCTTGCGCGTAGGGGTCTTTAGCAGTGGGAGGAAACCGGAGAACCCGGAGAAAACCCACGAGGTTGGACAGGCACATTGACATTGAAGTCGGATATAATTACATCCACTCGACACAAACAAACTAGATCATGTTGGGAACTATAGCAGCGGTCGGGGTGGACGCTCAATAAACTCACAGGGTTGGTCGTCAGGCGAACCTTTTACTTGACTCAATGGCAGACCTTATGATCTAAAGAACACACCTGGCCCCAAGTTCACAAAATATTCTCAGACTTAAGTTAAGAATTTACTCGAAATTGTTCGCCTTATTTTAATTAACATATAGCCCTTTTTAAACTTTTATTGTTTTAATGTTTCAAAAACTTCAATAAGAAACTATGTGCAGATAATTGTCAAAGATAATTCTCATAAACAGTGATTGGAGGTTGAGTAAATTCTTAACAGGAGTCTGAGAATGCTTTGTGAACTCAGGGCCTGAAACCATTCTCTCCTCGCTCGTATTTATAATAGAAGAAACACAACATATATAGAGTTATATATTTTATTTCTGAGGAATTACAATAAATTCGTCCTCAACTCGCCATATTCTGAAAATAAAATATGACACATAGCATTAATATCACACACGTTATCACTCTGCTCCCCACCCCACCCCAACCCAACCATTTAACATAAATGTTAAAAACGGCAGTTTAAGACACACGGAACAAATTCTTAATGACGGGAAGTGTTAAAAGTATAGAAATAATCAAGGATAAAATGACTTCACCGAGTCAAGACAAAATGGCGAGTGATATACTGTGTTCTTAATGTAGAACATGGGCGTCACACATGGGGCGGGGGGGGGGGGGGTGTCGACCCCGCCCCCTCCCCCAATCCTCCCGATTGTTTTTCGGGGTGGGGGGGTCTGAATATACTTGGACCCCGCCAAAATTTACATAGTAGGCCCTAACTCCTATTTATTTACAACAATTATTAGGATTAGTTAAGATTCTATCTGTATAAAACCTATACATATCCCAATATGTTGGTGTGATGTTTTAGTTTAACCCCGTAATATATGCCAAAACAGTGTTTACAGAAATGGGCGTCAGAAATTGTCAACATTTAATATAATTTCATTTGCTGTAGACCATTCTGAACATCAGAGACACGCTACCTGCGGAGAAAGCCAGCTACCACTTAACTTTCGTACCTTAGTTACGTACGACTGTAGACTAGCCAAGATTAACGTAAGAATACGAGTGAGAATCAGTAATTGCAGTAATTGCTTTCCATAGGACACTTGTGTGTGATAAAAAGTAAGAAGTTTTTTTTATAATCCGTTCAATATCATTAAAGACCCGGGACGCTTACGACTGGTCCCCCGGATCCATTCACTTGATTTAATATACATGTATATGTTTTTTGTTTATTGCTTGCAGTATCTGTATATAGTTTGTGTCTTGTCCGAAGGCTTGCTGGTGGGGTTGGAATGGCCTAGTCGAGCTTCAAGCTCTAGCTGATCCGTTACCTCTAGCTTCCGGTTGTGGTCAACTAACAACTCTAGCTTCCGGTTGTGGTTGTGGTCAACTGACAACTCTAGCTGCTCGGTCACCTCTGGCTTGCGGTGGTGGTTGTGGTCAACTGACAACTCTAGCTGCCCGGTCACATCTGGCTTCCGGTTGTGGTTGTGGTCAACTGACAACTCTATCTAGCTGACCAGTCACCTCTGGATTGCAGCCGTGGTTTCGTATGTGGCTTGGAGATAGGGGCACCCATAGGCGTACGAGCTGGGGGGCTGGGGGGGGCGGCTGCCCCCCCATTTTGGGCACCAAATGCTGGGAAAATTTGGGCACACAATTGTACTTTGTAAAAGTTGTATAAAATAATATTGCGTCCTTGAATGTGTCCAATTTAACAGAGAATTTATTATTATTAAGTAACATACTAAGAACCTAACTACATTTTTGGGCACCAACCACCACCGCCCCCCCCCCCCCAGTCCAAAATTTCCCCGTACGCCTATGGGGGCACCTTCTCAACCTCGCGGGGTTTCTCCAGGTACCCCGGTTTCCTCTCACAGACAACTTGTCTGAGATATCACCCTCGAAGGTTTGCTTTCTGGGTTTTGTTTTTGTGAGGTGCGGTCCTCGAATATAAGCCCCCACAAAACTAACAAGAATTAAGTATAGGGTGGTTTTAAAAACTGGGTGGAATTACAGTGTATATTCTTCTTACCATCAGCGTCGATTTCGCCATCAAAGTTAGTGTCAGCACTATCTATTGCTTGTTGAGCACTCTCAGCAGTTTCACCAGTTTTCACCAAAGATTCTTTTAGTTTCGCCATCTCCGCCTCGCCTTTTAACACGCCGTCGTTATCCAAGTCAATACTCTGCATAAACATCGCCCACATACCATTTACTGTCAATATCATTTTATTATAAATTTTACTTTGGGCTGAACTTAAAGGAGCTAAACCTCTAACTCAATATTTTCCACATTCCACAATGATACTTTCTACTAGGGTATTTCCTGATGTTTCTAGCTTATGCACAAATTTAGCGTCTAGCCATCTTACCATTTCATCAAGAAATGGCGTAAATTCTAGGCTAAAAATGGCCCCAAGCCATATGAAAAGGACAAGAACTACGCGAGAACATTAACTTCTTTAGGGATCCTACCATACTCATAGACTCTTTCCCAAACCATCCATTGCCGTTCTAGCTGGAGATATTGGTCGCCCAGAAGGCAGAGGAGGGCAAGATAAGCTTTCGAGAAACACATATCTGTCTTACTGAAGAACAGAATCTTTACAATGGTTCTTGGAGACCGAGTAGAGCAGGATCAGCTTTCAAGAAACACAATTAACAGACTTACCATGAACGGTAACTACAGCCACTAACACCAAACATGCTAAAAGTTTTCCAGCTGACAGAACCATGACGTCACCGATTTCCTGAAACTGGACGCATAACAGAGCTGGATTAAAATTTCATTGGCTACGGCGAGACTAACAATAATTTTAAATTTAAAAATTTGCTTTACATAATGTTTTGGAAACAAATATCTAAAAAAATTATTAATTGTTTCTTCTTTGCCGTGGTATGTTTAACAGAGATACAGTATATTAATTGAAGCCTTTTCAATAGATCGCCTGTCCAACCTCGTGGGTTTCCTCCGGGGCCTCCGGTTTCCTCCCACTGCTAAAGACCCCTACGCGCAAGCGAATTATGTAAATAAAATTTAAAACCATATGTTAGTCCCGAAATGACCTAGTTTGTGTCGAGAGGACGTTAAACCCCATTTCTCTCTCTCTCTTTTCAATAGATAATTTAGAGAACTTTTACTTTGATTCAGAATTCATGATAGCTTTCAACTTAATCTTCGGGGGTCCCTAGGCTGCAGCTCCTAAAAAACCAATGCCTTAATCCGACGCTGAACACGAAAGTAATTTTCCAGATGAAACCAACGCTTATTACACCGCTGTCCAAACGTTACACATTAACGACGTACAGAAATGCGGTTTAACGTCCTACTGTTCTGCTCCGACTGTGTTAATGAAGACGGGCATACGCAATACTGTTTGCTATGAGGGAAATTGTGCCCGGACAGCGGCACTACCGCCTATTTTTATATCTCGACACGGTGGTAGAATTTTGCCCGGACATCAGCGTTTCCGCCTACTTGCTACCATTTCCAACTGTCAACGATTCTTTAAAGAACACACCAATGTGTTTAAGGATTTCTGTTGTTTGTGTTCTAGAACACAACCCATGGTAACCGTATTTATCTATTTAGCAGGCGGCTAAGGAACAACTAAATACGATAAACAAATATATTGGGGCCACGATGGCACTTTGATTAAAGAGCTGGCTCGCACACCTGGGCCCTTATTCACGAAAACTTAAACTAAGATAAAATTGAATTTTTAAAGAAATACTGCATATATCCAATGAAGTTGCAGTATTTCTTAAAATTTCGATTTTATTCATAGCACACTGCATATCATATGCCTGTCTTCGTTAGCCCAGTTCGGAGCAAAACCCAATTTCATTTCGTGAGAGAGAGAGAGAGAGAAATGGGGTTTAATGTCCACTCGACACAAACTAGGTCATTTCGGGACTAACATATGGTTCAATGTTATTTCCATAATTCGCTTGCGCGTAGGGATCTTTAGCAGTGTTAGGAAACCGGAGGACCCGGAGAAAACCCACGAGGTTGGACAGGCGATCCTACTCCTTGTCACGTACAACGGGGGCATCGAAACCACGCCAGTTGCATTTCATTTCGTTTCCTTATCCAGCACATATACTGGATCCATAGTAACCCGCATTTATCTGTACTATCATTTAAACAGGCCACAGAACTAAATACGGTGGGAGATGCTAATCATAGGCCGGTTGGGGAGGTTCGGGAATTTCCGGAGTTCATAATGGCCGCTTTATATAAATTAGTATTTTGGGAAATACTAACCCTAACCCTTTTAAGAGGGGTAAACGGTAAATTGGGCCCAAGTCTTCTAAAAAGGGGTAGGTTTAAGAATTTTGGGGGAGAGGTTACGTCTCCACATAAGCACTGACCTAAAATACTCATTCATATAGAGCGGACATTCCCCAAAATACTCATTTATATAAAGCGAACCTCCCCAACCGGCCAACAATTAGCATAAAATCCAAAATACGTTAATAAAATATTGAAATTTTGTTTGGAGACAGAAAAAAGAATGGCGCTTACCTGTCAAGAAACAAATTGATGGATATATCGACACGACGCGACCCGTCTTTTTTATACAACTGTCGCCATTAATTATTGTAATCAAAAACACATCTTGGATCGTCAACACAGTCGAGTGGAAAATTGTTGGTAAATTTTCTAATTTGCGGTTAAATTGCCTCCAAAATATTAATCAAAATAATTTTGAGAGATTTGTGGGATTTATTACTATTTTAATAAAAACGTAATTCTGTAATTAAATTGTGTAAGTACAAAAGCTATGAAATCTGCCATCATTATTTCTGAATTTCGGATTTTTCCGATCAATTTTTCCACGGCTTGTAACGAGATATTTATGAGGCAATAAAGTTAGCCATATTGGATATAGATATACGTTTGAGCCTATACCTTTGGATACATAAATTAATGTATACATGAGACATTAATAGTAGATTTTAAATTGATTTCATGTATAACGACATTAGGCTTATATCCAAAAATATTAGCACAACCGTAAAGCTGCACTAGGCTACTTTGTTTCACGGTAAACGATGAAAAGATAAAGTAAAAGGTATGACGACACAAACTGATTTCAACACTGGTTTAATAACATTTTAACAAAATTAAAGTACTTTTCATCCGTCTTGGGGCTATTCATAAATAATGTCATTTAGCAATCTGTTTCACAGAGAATTACGAGTAGTAATGTCTCTGTCAAAGATGACTGCCTTAACACGTGCCGTCACAGCACGCGGGGTCAATCATTGGCTGAATGACGCGTGCATTGTTTACATAAGACGTTACTGCTTCGGGCGGAATGCTGCCTTTTAGTCATTTTAATACCCATTTACACTAAATAGGAAATAATTTTTACCTACAAATACGTCAAACGCTTTTATTTATTTTCCAATACATAAAAAAAAATGTTTTAGAATTTAATTTGTCGCAGGGAAAAAGTTAATATATTTCTGGCTCATTAAGTCGCATCGATGTCATCCTTATCAGTGATTTTAGCGGCCTAGCGAAAATTCACTGCTGACCAGTGTGGTCATTTAGGTCTGTAACTGTTGTTATACATGGAAGGAAGTGCATAAGGTATATATGTTTATTCACAATTAGATCCGCTTGAGAACAGCCACGAAGCTAGTTGACCGACATTTTAATTCCTAATTATTCTGCGTGTGTATTTATAGTCTTTTTGTGCATGAAAGCTGTAAAACGGAATAGAAATGCATTTCAAAGCAAATAGTTATACGTGCATTATAATGGCAGTCGCTGGAATATGGACGTGGTCATGTTGTAGTTTAGGTTAGCTAGCCATGTTTAATGAGCCCAATTCACACCCCTCTGAGCAATGCTAAAAGAGGGATAGATGGGGTTTAACGTCCACTCGAAACAAACTAGGTCATTTTGGGACTAACATATGGTTCAATTTCATTTCAATAATTCGCTTGCGCGTAGGGGTCTTTAGCAGTGGAAGGAAATCGAAGGATCCGGGGAAAACCCACGAAGTTGGACAGACGACCTACCGCTTGTCACGTACAGCCGGGGAATCGAAGCCTCGCCAGTTGACTCAATAACAGACCTTATGATGCAACCCACACGCGTTAACCATTCGGCCACCCCTACCCCTATCTGATCAATGTTAAGATGGGATTATTTCTGTCGGTGGTGTTCTTTATCCAGGACGTGCCCCAACCCTTTTTAATCCACCCCTCCCTCATTTCTTAGTCACGCGAAGTGGAATTTTGCCTAGAAACAAATGTGTAGTTCAAATGAGAAATGAAATCAGGGTCCTGTTTCTCGTAACTCAATATCATCCAAAATCTTCGACATTGAAAACACGATTTTTTTTTGCAATTTAAATAAGCATTGGTATTGTGATCTTACCTGGAAAAGATGGGCTTCTGATATCCAATATTTAAGACAAAATAAACATTTTACCATTGGTACACGAATCGTGTACCATAATGCGTTTCAGCGCCATTTGTAACAAGGTGCTCAAAGAATGATGCTAGACATATTCCACAAGTCATGTCAAACGGTGATATCATATTCTTATTTGGAGAGCATGCGCAATAAATAATATCGGTGTTGACTGGAATAACCAGACGCTAGAAACTGACTTGCGGTTGAGACTTCCGGCGTATTTCGCCGAACATAACTGATGACAATTCACAGTAAAACGGACACGATTGAATGTAAATCTGTTTATATAAATTCATATTACATTAATGTGTTGCGACTCATTTGTGCCAATTTCTAGGTCCAAAATATTAGCGATTTAGCTCCTTTAACTAAAGATAAAATCCAAATTTTATAAGTAGATACTTCAATTTTGATTGGCTAAGCACTAAAATCATTCTAATATTATCCAATCAAATTACTAAAATTTGGATTTTTATCTTAGTTAAAATTTCGTGAAACAGGCCCCTGGCCTACAACCATGTGCAATAGTTTTAGCATATGGTGGAAGCATCGGTGGTCCATTCTTATTATAAGTATGAAGATCATCTGTAAGCTCCAAACATTGTTGGAGCCACGGTGGCTAAGTGGGTAAGATGCTGACTCGCTAGCCTGGAGGTCGCGTGTTCGATTCCTGCATTGGCCGAGATTTTCCGCCAAGCGGGATTTTCCGCGTGCCCCCTCCCCCTCCGGAATCTTGTTCCTCGTGCAAAATCCATGGGTCACCACGCCCCTGATGAAATGGAATTTTAAATAAAAGACCCCCCCCTCCCTCCAATATACTCATATTGGAAAATAGTCACTTTCTTGCTTAAATGAAATGAAATGAAATTGAGTTTAACGTCCTACTGTTCTGGGCCCTTATTCACGAAAACATAAACTAAGATACAATCGAAATTTTAAGAAATACTGCAATTCGATTGGCTGACCAGTAAAACAATTTGCATATATCCAATTTGCATATTGGTCTGCCAATCGAATTGCAGTATTTCTTAAAATTTCGATTGTATCTTAGTTTAAGTTTTCGTGAATAAGGGCCCTGCTCCTACTGGGCTAATGAAGACGGGCATATGCCAAAGTTTGCTATGAGGGAAATTTTGCCCGGGCACCGGCACTATGACCTACTCTTTTATCGACTTCCAACTGCCAAGGGGTCTTTTACGTGCACGCCAATGTATACACGGGTCATCGGTTTTTCGTACAATCCAAACTACAAGCCTATTGTCATAGGCCCACCGTTCTGCGCCACAGAAAAGGGGAAATCACGTCGGAAATTCCGATGAACTTTCTTGCTTAAAAAAACACAATTAATGACAATAAAGATGGAAGGCATAGTATAATCCAATTTTAATTTATTCCAATAACTCCGTTCTCATTCTTCCATATTCTGAAAACATAAAAAGATATTTAGATTTTTATTGCATACATTGGAAATGAAATGAAATGGGGTTTAACGTCCTACTGTTCTGCTCGGACTGGGCTAATGAAGACGGGGTAAAACGCTAATGAAGACAGTGTGGTATGAGGGAAATTTTGGCCGGGCAGCGACACTTCGGCCTACTCTTATATCATATTTCAACTGTCAAGGGATCTTATACGTGCACGCCAATGTGTACACGGGATCTCGGTTTTTCGTCCCATCCGAACGACTAGACAGCTTTCCTTGTCAGGCTCACCGTCCTGCATCACTGACAAGGGGAAACCACGCTGAAAATCTGAATGAACTGTCTCGGCCAATGTCTTCATGGGACCTCTGTGTTTTTCGTCTCATCCGAACGACTAGACAGTCTGTCCTTGCCCCTTTCCTCCATCCTGCACCACTGACAAGGGGAAACTACGCCGGAAAATACCGATGAACTGTCTCGGCTATCACCGGGAGAGAACCCGCGACCTCCAAGCTTAGCGAATCAGTGTCTTACTCACTTTGTGTCCGTGGCTCGTGCATACATTAGACAAATAAGCTTTGGCTCAGTGAGTTAAACTTACAAGGACGTACGCTGTTAGTTCCCGGAGTTGACCGAGAAAGTTCGTCGGGATTTTTCGGCGTGGGAGCGTGGAGTCGGGCGATAAATATACACTAACACTCCTCGCGAGGTGCAATGAGATCGAAACCCTTTGTCCAAAATAGCGCCTAATTTATTTTTTACCTGCTAGTTCCTTTGTGAATGGTATCGGATCGGACAATGTCCGCTGGCCGTTTCTACCCGCCTCTATATAGTTGCAATATGAAAATACCGCTCTTCCCCACCTCTGTTCTAAGACTTTTTTGGATTCCTTACCGACTATTTTTCCACCTCGATTCCTCTTTGTTTGCCAAAGGAATCATTTCTTGCCACAGCTGACACGCATTTATAATAATTCAACGCTATTTTCAAGTGGAATTTTGCGATTACAAACATACACAAAATACGTTTGAACTGATCAGCCATTACGACCGCATGTTTATTTAATCGCAAAATTCTACTTGGAAATAGTGCTGAATTATTATAAATTAGTGACAGATATGGTGAGAAATGAATCTTTTTGGCGAAAATAAAAAAAAATCACGATGCAAAATAGAAGGTAACGGTTTCAAAATAGCCTTAGAACAGAGGTGGGGAAGAGCGGTATTTTCATATTGCAACTATATAGGGACGGATAGGAACGGTCAGCGGACATCGTCCGATATATAGGACAGAGAGAGAGAGAAAAATGAGGTTTAATGTCCACTCGACACAGACACAGGTCATTTCGGGACTAACATATGGTTTTAATTTTATTTTAATAATTCGCTTGCGCGTAGGGGTCTGTCGCATTGGGGGGGGGGGACCGGAGGACCCGGAGAAAACCCACGAGGTTGGACAGGTGACCCTACTCCCTGTCACGTACAACCGGGGATGCGAAACCACGCCAGTTGGCTCAATGACAGGCTTTACGATACAGCGCGCACGTGCTAACCATTCGGCCATTCAACCCCCCTAGATGATACAAAATGAATATATTGAAATTTTCATTCAAATTACTTTATTTTGAGCGAAGTTATCAATGGTTGTAGTTTTGACAAGATGTGTGCATTGATCGTATCTGGCATACTGGAAATTCGAGTCTTACCCTCGCTGCTCCATTTTTAAATTAAGTCATTAAATGACCAAACTGTTCAAGTCTACTTAAAATCGGAGCCACCCGATGACCTAGAGAGTTGATTATGTTCTTGTCATATTAATAAATGTCTAATTAAAAATTTATTATAACATTTGCGGGGGGTGGGGTGGGGGTAGGTGACTGGTGGACGAATGGTTAGCATGTGCGCGCTGTATCATAAGGCCTGTCATTGAATCAACTGGCGTGGTTTCGAATCCCCGGTTGAACGTGACAAGGAGTAGGGTTGCCTGTCCGACCTCGTGGGTTTTCTCCGGGTCCTCCGGTTTCCTCCCACTGCTAAAGACCCCTACGCGCAAGCGAATTATTGAAATAAAATTAAACCATATGTTAGTCCCGAAATGACCTAGTCTGTGTCGATTGGACGTTAAACCCCATTTCTCTCTCTATCTCTCTCTCTCTCTATATATATATATATATAACATTTAAGGCCCAAAGAAAGACCAGCAATAGGTAGATTTATCTCTTACATAATGCTGTCAGTGAAATACAATACCTTCTGCGTTAATCTCCCCATTATAGTTTGTATCAGCCGAATCAATGGCCGTTTGAGCTGTGTCCTCGCTTATACGTAGTAGTTTCATCAACGACGCCTTTAACTTGGCCAACTCCTCGGCACCCTTTAATACGCCATCGCTATCAACGTCATTCTCCTTTATAAAGTATTCCCACATACCGCCATTAACTTTTGAGATAAAAACAATAAATTATTTTCAATAATATGGTCTCATTAGAATACTGGGGATATCATTATTTACATCCCACTTCTACTCGTTGCCACTGGCAACCTTTGATAAAACTGTCCTGTTTATTTGCAATACATGCATAAAAGTATCTGTGTATCAGAAATGTACAGAAAGAGTATTGTTCATTTCTGATACACGGATACTTTTATACCGTTTTAGATACATATCAAGCAATAAGTAGCGGACATTTAGTCCGACCCAGATCGCAATTGATAACGATGGCTCTATATAATGTACATGGAACAACTAGTCAAAATCATAGTAACAAAACAAAATAGGGGGAACTACATGGCAGTTCAAAAACATATACAATGACATTAAATTAACATAACAACATATTACAAAAATCAATTATTATACATACCAATTGGCATCTATTTCATAATTTGGTTTGATTTATATTAATATTCAAAATATATAAATTAGAATATTGAATAATTATTTTAATTAATTGTGATGATAGAAGGCGCAGTTCTCTTGCTGGACACTTCACAGGCATTAAAAATAAGGATGAAAAAAAACGCCTAGAAAGTCATAAACTTTATTACAAATAAATTTCAACGGAAGAACCATCCGCCGATGCATACTTTCACCAGGAATGACCCCCGTTTCGCATTTCCTTTACACTACATTTAATAATATCGCAGTCCTCTACGCCATAGACAAGTTGTTTTGACGATGTGGTCTAAACAAACACGTGATTGTTTTACGCTCAGAGTATCATAGCAAGACGCACGTGTAAATACTACTGAGGTCGTCTCTCCACTGCGAAATCATTCTACCATGAAATGTAACGTGAGGCTCAGAAAGGGATAAATAATGAAAGAGCAGAAAGTATTTGTCACTTTTCGGTTGAAACGACTCGATAATATATACTATTTTTCACATTTTGCTTCACAATACTCGATAGAAATGTGATGTAAGTAACTTATTAGCACCTTTCCTCGGTGTATCGGTGAATATCAGGACAGTTTTGGTCGGCTCGACCAAAACTGTCCTGATATTCACCGATACACCGAGGAAAGTGTGCTAATAACTACTACGTAATGGTGGCACAATACATTAATACATCGTCAGATCTAAATTTTAAGGCTGTCTCCAGATTTCGTCAAGGTCACGAGATGTAAACAGGATTATGGTCTGGGTTAGCGCTAGCCCTGTTTACATCTCCGTGACCTTGACGAAATCTGCAGGTAACCTTAGGAAATAGATCTAACCATCAGTGTAGTGGGTGGTGAATATGTCTTAGTTACAAAAGAAATATAGAAATGCACGATTGGAGACAATCTGATTAAAATACAAATCTATATTTCATTTCTTTTTTTTTATACTTTCGATGGCTTACACTAGATGACGATCTGACCGGTTGTACTGGAAGGTTGTTCCATGGGTCGTGCGAGCGGCTTTTGGCCTATGACGTCAAACATTGATTAATCAATCAGCGTAGACGTTTCTAGTGGTTTACCCACAGTACGTACACGTTCCGTGCATTAAACCGTAATTGGCTTATCCCTCACTTCAACCATGACGCCGGTAATAATATTTCAACTCTTCGAGATCCTAGTGTAGTAAATACTAGTAAAACGAAATTTTGAACTATAAAAAACGAAACGAAATAGGATCTGTGTTTTAATCAGATTGGATTGAAAAAGAGAAGGAGAGGCCCTCAATGCTCCCCCCTCTCTCTCTCCACCCCCTCTCTCCCCCCTCTCCCTCTTCTCCTTTCTGTCCCCTCTCTCTCAATGCTAAAATAATAAACTTACCGTGAACACTAAGAATTCCAACCAAAACCAGTACTATCATAACTTTAACAAACATCGTAGCCATCTTGAATCTAATAGTAGGTCTAAATTTATTGAATAAAATTGAAATCATAATAAAAACATTCTTGGAAAAAAAAATATAAATGAAATGAAATGTGGTTTTACAGGGGCGGATCCAGAGGGGGGGGGGATTGGGGGGGGGGGGTCGAACCCCCCCCCCCCCTGCTCAGCTACATAAATTTCTTTTTGTAAATCAAAACTTTTTATGAGAAAAGTTTCTCTACCGTGTGCTTTATCCTTTATCGTCAGATGTGGACAGGATGGGCACTCAAAGCGCGAGATAATGATATAGACATTATGTGATATCACAATTGATGGCTTTGCATCCATGAAATTGAATCACAATGTCATTGTATTAATTCATAATAAAAATTGACGTCAAACGAGATGTTGAATTTCCCTGTTTTAAAAGTTCAATGTGTGTGTATATACGCCATAATGACGATAGAGGCAATGCGTGTGGGGGGGGGGAGATACATTGTCTCAGAAACCTGGCAAACCCCCTCCTGCGAAAATTCCTGGATCCGCCCCTGTTTTATGTTCTAATATATTTTCAGCCAACGCCGAGATCGATTCTGGATATAGAGTCAGCGCCTTACTCACTGAGTCATGGTGGGTCCACTGAGTCACGGTGACTTCACTGAGTCACGGCGAGAGAGCGGTAACATCAGTGATGGGATTTTAAAATTTTTCTTGTCGGACATTTTACCGAAAATAAAGGGGCATAACTCTAATCGCTATTAAAAATCACATGTCAACAAAATATTCAAATACCGTACGTAATAAAAATAGGTGAACCTCGCTATTTTTGATATTAAATTCCCGTACGGTATTCAATTCATACCACAATTAAAATCACATGTCAACAAAATATTCAAATCCCGTACGTAATAAAAAATTGGCGAACCTCGCTATTCTTCACATTTAATTCCCATACGGCATTCAAATTTATGTCAGTAACTCTCCTACAAAATTAAGCATTTTCGTAATACATTGAATGGGGGCTTGTCGATCCTGCTTTGGCATCAAATTCACAAACGTAATGTTCCTTCAAAATTACGTGTCTTCGTTTATACGGCAGCAAATGAATGCAGAACTTCCGAAATAAGAATAGTTTGTGATGTCCACAGAACATTTTTTTTTCTTTATAAAATGTCAACAAAATATTCAAATGCGTGCGTAATAGAAATAGAAACACCTCACTGTTTTTTCATATTTAATTCCCGTATGGTTATGATATTAAAATGTATGTCAGTAATATTCCTACAAAATTACGTGTTTTCGTAACACGATAGAATGAAAGTTTGCCGATCCGTACCGGCTTAAACCTCAGCCATTAATATTCCCCCAAAAGTACATATCTTGGTTTATACGGCACAAATGAAAGAAAGGCGTTCGAAATAATAATACTTGTGGTGATGACAAAACACCATTTCCTGCTTCATAAGTCAGTATTTTAAAATTACATAGATAGTTAAATCACTCATAACTTCAGCGTATGGCGTGCGTGAGCCATAGCACATAGCTTCATAGTAAGCACTGCCTTCTTTATATGTTAAGCAATTTTCGTGCGGCGCTCGAGATCACGGGAAAGTGCCACTGTAGATGAGAATTTCTATATGGAGTCTTAAAAGACGTAAAAGATATCGCAGACAAAATGACTGTCCATTGATTTAGGGTGTTATATACACTTACGATGCTGTCGGCTCACATGAATGGGACTAAAATGTCCGACAATGGAGAAACCGCGAGATAAACACGTGGATTAAAATTATAGTAACTCTTATTGGATTGATGAATAGTCCGACAAAGGGGAAGCAATGACTTGTGCTTAAGATTAGATTGATGAATTTTCCGACAACGGATTAAGTCAGTCAATCATGGCAGATTAAGTAGTTAATCAAGGTAGGTGTATAGACCGTATAACACGATAAATACGTTGATCACTTAATTACCTAATCAATCCAGCCTATTATCAACGATAAATGAGTTGAGTGGTAGTTATACACATTCACTTGACACAAACCAGGTGATTTAGGGACTAGCACATGGTTCAATTTCATTTCAATAATTCGCTTGCGCGTAGAGGTCTTTAGCAGTGGGAGGAAACATGAGGACCCGGAGAAAACCCACGAAGTTGGACAGGCGACCCAACTCCTAGTCACGTACAAGCGGGGAATCGAAACCGCACCAGTAGACTCAATGACAGACCTTATGTTCTAAAGCGAATGCCATAGACCATCCCCCCCAAAAAAACATGAGGACCCGAAGCCCACGAGTTTGGACAGACGACCCTACTCCTAGTCATGTACAATCCCCCTGTTAAAATTTAAAAGAACTACTCACCACTTTTTGTTTCTGCCACAAATATTCGCCAATACTCAGGTAAATGTTGAAATGAAATGAGGTTTAACGTCCTACTGTTCTGCTCCGACTGGGCTAATTTAGACGGGGTAACTGTTGGAACATGGCTAAACACACCATACTTATACCTGGCATCATTTAATTAAATTAAAATATTTCATTGAAACTTTTTATTCTTTTTTCCCCCATTTAAAATATTTATTGGACTGCCATACACAATTTATAATTTTTTTTCAAATTTGAAAGCCTGACCATAGTTATTGGAACGCCATACAAAATTTATAATATTTGTTTTTTTCAAGTTTGAAAGCCTGACCATATTTATTGGACCGCCATACAAAAGTTATAATATTGTTTTCACAATTTGACAGCCTGACCATATTTATTGGATAACCGACTATATAAATGGTTTATTCTTGTTTTTCAAATTTAATCAAATCTATATTAAATATGTGGTTTTGCTTTTCAAGTCAATTCTAATAATATTATTATTATATCATTAGTTTTCATTTTCAGGGAACAATAACGTCAATGATAAACAGGACACAAATAGATCATTTGATTAAAGGGGCAATCCCGATAATTTTTGGAGAATAAAACTGTTTGATTTTGTGTTAAAGGCTCAATACCACTCTTGTTGTAACTGAATAATATGTCCCAATCTTTATTCTGGTCCAACAAGTTGTACTATTTTACAATATTCCAATTAATTGATGATGCAAATTTGATCTTAACACACCTAATTTAAAAAATTAGAAAAATTCAACTAAATGATTTCAAATGTGACTTGGATTTAAAAATATTTTTGAACCCTCTGGACAAGTAAAACAGGTTTTAATGGATAATTTACACAACAGGTAGGACACTAACACATCTAGTACTTAGAATAAGGCTATTTTTTTATTTTCTGGAGCTGTCAAGCCAGCAAGAGTGTTATTGTCCCTTTAAAATCCCTTAAAATCCTCAACCTGGGGACCGAGCAACTAACTCAATATTTATGATACGTTTTCAAACAACTTAAACCTGTCAGTCTTCATCTGGAAATGGAGACCGGTGTCCTAAGCTGTATTTGTATTATGCGGTGTCTGGATAAAACCAGACATTTATTTTATAAAAATAAGGTGAAATTTAAATTTCGTATCAAGTACAGCTCATGGATCATTCACTTTATAGACCCCTCAAGGAACGGGAATCGATTATCAGGTCACCCAACGAAATAATTGACCCGAAATCTTAAACGAATTACGTGTCCGGATAAGCAGTTTTGACGTTCACGTCCAAACGACTCAATATTTTGAGCTGAAATTTTGAGATAAGCTAAATAGACCATTCTATATTTTAGCGCTTAAATTTCATACGTACTCCGACATTTATTTTTGAGACTCTGTTCAAATCTGGATAGTCACTTTAAAAAGGCATTATGTAAGAGCTAAATTTGTTTATTGCAGGTGTTTCTTTCCATGTGATTAAAACACATATCCTATTTCGTTTCGTTTTTTATAGCTCAAAATATCGTATAACTTGTCTCCACAACACTAGGATTTGGGGCCTGTTTCACGAAATTTTAAGTAAGATAAAATCCAAATTTTAGTAATTTGATTGGATAATATTAGATTGATTTTAGTGCTTAGCCAATCTAGTAAAATTTGGATTTTACCTTTAGTTAAGATTTCGAGAAACAGGGCCCTGAAGGAATTGTTATATAGCTGGCGTTTTGCTTGATGTGATTAATTCAATAACTCTCTTTCTAATTGAGCTAAAATGTTCAAACTTGGTGTTTATTTGGTCAATGCCTTGATGGAATTCAAAGATGAGCATTTTCTGCTTAGGATAATCAGAGATAAACAATTTGATTGGTTGATGCTTTGGGACACGATCACTTTAGTTATAATTAAGTGAGAGTGGGGACACTTGCTGTATAGCTTTATTACATCAATACCTTGACTAAGTTCGATAATGAACATTTTCTGCTGAGAGTAAGCAGAGCGATAAGCAATTTGATTGGTTGAGACTTTGGAACACAATAACTCTCCTTCTAATTGAGGTAGAATGTTCAAACTTAGTGTAGGCATTCATTGGGTGAATCCTTTGATGGAGTTCGATGATGAACATTGTCTGCTTACTGTAGTCAGAGATAAGCAATCTGATTGGTTGATGCTTTAGGGGTACGATAACTTTGGTTATAATGAAGTGAGTGCGATGAAACTCTGAATATGGATTCATTATATCATTACCTTGACTAAGTTCGATTGTGCGAATTTTCTGCCTGGGCTAAGGAGCGATAAGCAATTTGATTGGTCAAGACTTTGGAACATAACAAATCTGCTTTTAATTGAAGTAGAATGTTTAAATTTGATGTAGATGTTCATTAGGTGAATGTCTTGACTGATTTCAATGATTAACATTTCAAGCTAAAGCTAAGCAGTGCTAATCAATTTCATTGGTCGATGCTTTGGGACAAGATAATCTTCAATCTATCTGATAGAGAGTAGTTTGATTGCTCGATACTTTTGAAAAAAAATAAATGTGCGATTAATTAATATGTGTCATCTATTTATTTTGGGATTTCGGCGGGGGACAACAGCCTCACTGTTGGCTTGTTTTTTTTAATGTTAGTTTTCCCTTGTTTATTACATTTCCTAACTACTTGTGCCATTTTCAATTCAATAGCTTTAGAATTTAAGAACACATTTTTCAGGTAGCCTCACCCCTTAAACATTCAGTTCTTTTATTGAATATACTACAATATTTTGAAAGCATTTAAAATTGTTTTTTTCACCGACAATCCGCGTTCAATAAGGCCTCAGACGGCTATGTATTTGTTTAAATCAGTTATTTAAAATTTATTATTCAGAATGGATTGAGACACCTGAAAATAAGTGATATTAATAAAGATTCTGAAAGCTATTAATTTGATTAAATCATTATTTTAAAGTTTATTATTCAGAATGTATTGAGACACCTGAAAATAAGTGACGTTAATAAAAATTCGGAATGCATTGTGTATCCTATCTGTGTTTGCTAAACACATCAACCATTTTAAAATCTGTATTAATGTATTTAATATTCATTATATTTCAAATAATATTAGCAGAAGAAATCTATTATTAACATATGGAGGGGAAACCCTATCACAAGCCCAACTTCTAACTCCCAGCTTTTATTCGTGTAAATGTTCAAATCTTATTTCTGACGTTTAAATGACATATGACTCTATTCTTGGAACCATAAAATAGACAAAAATGGTTCTAAAAGCATTTAAAGTAATTTATATTCAATTTTGTTTTAAAAAAAAGATTGTAATTTCTAATCAATTATGTTCGGTAGAATATGTGAACATTTCAAATTGACAGCAGTCGTTTACGGATGCTTAGTCCATTCTACACATTCTTTAAATTATTATTTTGTCGTTTGTGAATCAACCTTTAGTAATTACTTCCACATTGTGTTGTAGGATATGTTTTTATATGTTCGTTACAAAATGGCACCAGAAACCAATACGACTTATGTACGGATTATAAAATGTTAATTGTGTCTTAGATATTGGATATTATGATCCCATATTTTCACGGCAAGATAACAACATCAATATTGACTAAACTGATCAATATTGAATTCTAATTCGTGTTTTTAATTTCGATTATTATGGACAATATCGAGTTAGAGACTTAGCTCCTTTTATTTCTGATTTTTAACTTTCGTTTTTGTAATTTCTTATATTTATTTTAAATAAGAATTTAACATTTACGTGGTGGATAAAAGTTGTGAGTTACAAGTTGGGAATGTGACAGGGTTTCCCCTCCATATTAATAAGTGTCAGTATTGAATACATCTAGAATATATTTAAAACAACTCTATTGTTGGGAAAATTTGGAATTAAAATGAAATGAAATGGGGTTTAAGGTCATACTGTTCTGCTCTGGCTGGGCTAATGAACACAGGCATAAGCCATTCAGTGTGCTAAGAGGGAAATTTTTCCCGGACAGTGGCTCTATCATTATCTAGTTTTTAACTAAGGGGATATTTGATTTTGGGGGCATAATACTAAAATATGCAAATGACTACGAAAAAAGTCACTATAGAACCTAACAGAAGAAACATTTCCAGTTACATGTGACGCCCAAACGCACCAATAGCTACCGCATGGAATGCAGGTGATGCTTGGGATCATCATGGGGGTCCAACCCAAGATTTGCACGACTCTGACTTTGAATGTTACAGTCATTGTGGCATTGAATTCCAGGGTGGAAACATCAGTTTAATTGTTTTAGTGACCAGAAAACAAATTTTGATATGCGTCGGCTTACCCAAAATGAAAGGTTACGTGCCCTTGGCATGCTACAGATCGGCACAACACAGGCGGTTGTGGCGCGGACGATGAATGTTTCTCAGTCTGTCATAAGCAGGCTATGGTCCAGATACCGTGATACACAATCTGTACAGGTCAGACCACGCTCAGGTCGACCAAGGGCGACAACTCAAGCCCAGGATCGATTTATCCGTACCTTGGCCTTGAGAAATCGTGTCATCACAGCAAATCAGATCAGCGCTCGTCTTCAAACAGACACTGGTGTGAGAGTGAGTGGCCAGACGATTCGGAATCGACTGCATAGGGGTCACCTTCGCGCCCGACGTCCTCGCGTGATCCCTTGTTTGAGAGATCATCACATTCAGGCAAGACGTCGTTGGTGTAGGGATCGTCAACACTGGGATAATCGACGCTGGAGCAATGTGATGTTTTCAGATGAGTCAAGGTTCACTGTTGATTTATTTGGACAGACGTAGGAGGGTGTGGCGTCGTCGAAACGAGCGCTTCCAAGACGTTAACGTCATCAGACATGATCGATTTGGGGGTGGTTCTGTTATGGTGTGGGGAGGCATCACTGTTGCTGGAAGAACGGCTTTACATGTTGTTGCAGGGCGTGTTACAGGCCAGTACTACCGGGACAACATCTTGGCAGTCCATGTTGTGCCGTTCGCACGACGTCATGGCCGCCGTTTCATCTTCCAGGATGACAACGCAAGATGTCACAGGGCCAGGATCGTTACAGGTTACCTCCAACAACAGAACATCACCACATTACCTTGGCCAGCACTGAGTCCCGACCTCTCCCCCATCGAGCATGTCTGGGACATGCTTGGACAGAGGTTACGTCAACGTCAACAACGTCCTGCCAATGTCCAAGAACTTGCTGCTGCGTTGCAACAGGAATGGAACAATCTGGACCAAAATGACCTTAGACGTCTCATTAGGAGTATGCCACGTCGGATCAATGCTTGTTTGGCAAACAGAGGAGGATTTACCCGTTACTGACTTGGTTGTGATGCTGTGGTAACTTTGCTGTTTGACCCCGGGTATCATTTTACCCTTATAATGGTCAGTCTAGTCTAACGATCATTTGGAATAAATCGATGAATGTGAACTTCATATCATTTTGTCATTTGTTTCTTCGTCAGTTTCATTAGGTGACTTTAATAACACTTAAAAATCAAATATCCCCTACTTTATTTGAATAGTATATTATAGTGAGAACTGCCAGATCGTATAATGTATCTTTAAGCTATCCTTGTATTACAACTTAGGGGAGAGGGGAGAGAGAGAGAGAGAGAGAGAGAGAGAGAGAGAGAGAGAGAGAAAGAGAGAGAGAGAGAGAACTGGGGTTTAACATCCACTCGACACAAACTAGGTCATTTCGGGACTAACACATGGTTCAATTTTATTTCCATAATTCGCTTGTGCGTAGGGGTCTTTAGCAGTGGGAGGAAACCGGAGGACCCGGAGAAAACCCACGAGGTTGGACATGCGACCCTACTACTTGTCACGTACAACCAGGGAATCGAAACCACGCCAGTATATTATTAAAACTGCATGATGGAGGATTTGGATAAAGAGCTGGCAGTTTTCCAGTAATAGTTAAAAACTAGATAATGTAAATTGCCCCACTTTGAACCGAGATATTAGCCAATGAATTTTAGCCATAGTCTCGATCATCATTTCTAAAGTCGGTAAGATACAAGTCGGGGTGGGGGTGGGGGTGGAGGTAACCACAGGACCTGGACAAAATCCGCGAAGTTAGGCAGGCGATTTTACTCTTTGTCACGTGCCCCCCCTCCCACCACATCACCCAACCCCTACGGCGCAGTCGGTGAAAAAACCCAATTTTAAATGCTTTCAAAATATTGTGATATATCATTAATAAAATTGAATATTTAAAGTTGAGAACCCGATAAAAAAAATACCCAATTTCAAACGTCTATTTTAGTAAACCAATAATTGTTTACTTTCAAAATATTGTGACGTTTTTAATAATACAATTAGATTTATTAAATTGAGAACCCAATGAAAATAAGGATTTAATTTTAAATATATAGTTTATTACCCAATAATAAACTCATTGGAGTATTAATTTTAAATATATCATTTAGAACCCAATAATAAACTCCACTGTTTCGTTTCAAAAATATTGCTGCGTTTTTAATTAATTTAAAAACACAATTGAACTTTTAAAATGAATAATGCAATGAAATTAATATAAAATAGATTTATTATGCCAACATATATTATGAAGTATTATTATCAGATCAAAGTTAATTAGAGTTTGTGGGTATAAATATTGCAGGATTCGACATGTTGGGATATTCACTGATCTGGTGACGAAGATTTGTGGACGATATTAAAAGGTAAGTTATTACCCTGTATGCAATGGATGGACGAATAAAATGGACGGATGAAATTAGGTTTAACGGCCTACTATTCTGCAACAATTGGGCTAATGTAAAAGATCTCTTGACAGTTGGAATTCGATATAAGAGTAGGTCGTAGTGCCGCTGTCCAGGCGAAATTCCCCCCATAGCACACAGTCTGGCGTATGCCCGTCTTCATTAGCCCAATCGGAGCAGAACAGTAGGACTTAACTAATCCTAATAATTGTTGTAAATAAATAGGAGTTAGGGTCTACTATGTAAATTTGGGGAGGGGGGGGGGGGCAAGTATATTCCAGAATGTGATCATATTTGTATATCAGCTTTAACATTCATGTCAGTAAATATTTAAAATGCGAATTAATTACACAAGTCATGCTTTGTATTGATCAAGATCTTTTGAACTAGTTTATAAATTTTCTTTTTTTTTGGTGTGTTCTTCATGTCTTATTCCATATAAAAAATTATTTAATATTATTTAAAGTAGCTAAGTCTCTAACTCAATATCATCCAAAATCTTCAACATTGAAAACACGATTTATTTGTCAAATTAAATCAACATTCACGTTGTAATCTTACCGGAAAAAGATGGGCTTTTGATATCCAATATTTAAGACAAAATAAACATTTTACCATTGGTACACGAATCGTGTACCATAATGCGCTTCAGCCCCAGTTGTATCAAGAGACTCGAGGGACGAGGCTAGACACATTGCACCAAATCAAATGGCGTATGTAGACTGGAATAACCAGACGCTAGAAATTTGCACTCGCTTGAGACTGCTGGCTTATTTCGCCGAACATAACTGATTTGAAATTAGAGTAAAAACGGAAACCATTGAATGTAAATCAGTTTATATACATTCATATTACAGTATTATATGCGTTGCGACCCACTTTTGTCAATTTCTAGGTCCCAAATGTTAGCGATTTAGCTCCTTTAAGTTCATTTATGTAATATGTATTGGGAAAGACTTTTATAAGTTGTAAAACTTGTGTCTTGTTCAGTTGTTTATTGAACAATAAAATATGTTTAAAATTAGTAGAGCAATAAGCAATTTGATTGGTTGAGACCTTGGAACACATTTACTCTCCTTCCTTCTAATTGAGCTAGAATCTTCAATCTTGGTGTAGGTGTTTATTAGGGCAATGCCTTGATGGAGTTCAAAGATGGGCATTTTCTATTTAGGGTAAGCAGAGATAAGCAATTTGATTGGTTGATATACATGAGACACAATGACTTTAGTTCTAATTAAGTGAGAGTGAGGACAAGCTATACATCATTAGAGCGATAAGCAATTTGATTGGTCGAGACTTTGGAACACAATAACTCTCCTAATTGATGTAGAATGTTTAAACTTGGTGTAGTCGTTCATTAGGGGAATGCCTTGATGGAGTTCGATGATCAACATTGTCTGCTTATGGTAAGTAGAAATAAGCAATCTGATCGGTTGATGCTTTGAGGCACGATAACTTTGGTTATAATGAAGTGAGAGCGATGGAACTCCGAATATAGATTCATTATATCATTACCATGACTAATTGCGATGGTGAGAATTTTTCTGCTTAGGCTAATGACCGATAAGAAATTTGATTGGTCAAGACTTTCAAACATAACAACTCTGCTTTTAATTGGAGTAGAATGTTTAAACTTGATGTAGATGTTCATTTGTGAATGTCTTGACTGAGTTCAATGATTAACATTTCGAGCTGAAGCTAAGCAGAGCTAATCAATTTCATTGGTCAATGCTTTGGGACAAGTTAATCTTCATTCTATCTTGATAGAGAGTGATGTAACTTAGTGTATAGTTTGATTGCTTGGTGCTTTTGAAAAAAAAAAAATAAATGTGCGATTAATTAATGTGTGTCATCTATTTATTTTGGGATTTCGGCGGGGGACATCAGCCTCACTGTTGGCTTGTCAACAATTTAGATAACATTTCAGGCCTAAAGAAAGACCTGCAATAGGCAGATTCAGCTCTTCCATAATGTATGTTTAAGTATTTTATATATTTTTTTTTATTTGAAAGTTAATTGTGGAATAACCAAATTATGGGAGAACAATTTTATAGACGGTATAGGCGAGCAGACGAATGACGAATGACGAATTTGATGCCAATGGTAAGTGACTATTTTGTTAAAGGAAATGAATGATAAAGATAAATACAATGAAATGCAATGGGGTTTAACGTCCTACTGTTCTGCTCTGACTGTGATAATGAAGACCGTCATACGCCAATCAGTGTGCTACGAGGGAAATTTTACCCGTGCAGCGGCACAATAGCCTAGTCTTATATCAAATACCAACTTGTACAAGGGACATTAATTTTACGTCCTATCCGAACGACTAGATGTTGTCAGCCGGCCAACAACCCGGATGGAACAAGGAACCTCCTGTTTAGTGAGCCAGTCGTTTATCCTCCACGGTTAATCATCCTACTTTTCTGCCCTGACTGGCCTAATAAAGACGGCCAGCAGCGTTACGGCCTACTCTTATATCAAATTCCAACAGCCAAGGGTTATTTTACGTCCCATCCGAACCAAAACAGAGTCAAGGCGTCTCCCAAATAGCTAACCAAACTTTCATTGGGCTTTTATATTACGAAAATCACAAGGTCTGTCATTATTGAGCCAAGTGGTGTGGTTTCTATTCCCTGCTTGTATGTGACAAGGAGTAGGATCGCCTGCCCAACTTCATGGGTTTTCTCCGGATCCTCTGTTCCCCCCCCCCCCCCAACCGCCCCTACTGCTAAAACCCCTACGCACAAGCGAATTATTGGAATATAATTAGACCATGTTAGTCTCGAGATGACCTAGTTTGTGTTGAGTAGATGTTAACCCCCATCTCTCTCTCTCTCTCTCTCCCTCTCTCTCTCTCTCTGTATATTTCAATTAATTTAATTAATTTATATTCAGCATTACAGGATATGGAAGTGTGACATTGCTGCGCTAATCCAAAGGACACCACAGACATCAAATCCCTTTTGTCTATATTACCGGTAATAAATATCTTTCATCTCTGAAATAAAAATGTTTGTTGTTATTAATGTTTAACGCAAAACTGGTCGTCACACACACCTGTGAAGCAATGGTTAACAGCATGGTCGGTTCATTAGGCATTGCTACATTTACTATGGTATGTTATCTCCGGGCTTTGACTTCTCCTTCACACAGGGCTGGGGCCATTACGTTGCCAATGTAATTAATTACAATACCATCACCATTACTTTTTAAATGTAATCATTACAATTACTTTATCATTTTTAGCAATGTAATTAATTACCATTACCCATTACATTGAAAGTAATTAATTACCATTACCCATTACTTTATGACTATATAAATAAAAAAAAACATTTTTCATAGAAATTAAAAAGAAAACCTTATTTTTATGCCATGAAGTAACTGAAAAATCAAACTCAAAATAATCCTTGATTCACTTATTGGATATTTGTTTTTGAATTATTATTTCTTATAACATCTAACAACACGTAATGATACAGTCTGATCAAAACACAGATCCTATTTCGTTTCGTTTTTTATAGTTCAAAATTTCGTTTTACTTGTCTTTACTACACTAGGATCTGGAAGAATTGTTATATAACAGGCATTCTGCTTGATGTGAGGAATTAGCCAATGAAACGTTCTGTTACGGCGAGTTCTGTGGGTAAACCACAAGAAAAGTCAACGCTGATTGATTAATGAATGTCTGACGTCATAGGGTCAAAAGACGCTCGTATGACCTCTGATGCCTCCTCCCACTACAACTGGTCAGATCTTCATGTAGTAGAGACCATCGAAAGTATATGTATAAAAAAAACGAAACGAAATATAGATCTGTATTTTAACCAGATTGGTAATGATAAATCCATGAGATTTTTTGAAACTGAAATGAAATGAAATGAAATGAAATGGGGTTTAACGTCCTACTGTTCTGCTCCTATACTGGGCTAATGAAGACGGGCATACGCCATACAGTGTGTTATGAGGGAAATTTTGCCCGGGCAGCGGCGCTATCGCCTACTCTTATATCGAATTCCAACTGCCAAGGGATCTTTTACGTACATTCCAATGTTTACACGGAAACTCGGTTTTTCGTCTCATCCGAAGGACTAGACAGCTGTCCTTGTCGGGCCCTCCGTCCTGCATCACTGACAAGGGGAAACCACGTCGGAAAATCGGGATGAACTTTCTCGGCCAATGCAGGGATCGAACACCCGACCTCCAGGCTAGCGAGCCAGCGCCTTACCCACTTAGCCACCGTGGCTCATAACTAACATTCCGATGAACTTAATCTTTATAACCACAAGGCGTCCAACATGTCACATTCGTTTGATAAAAATGATGAAGAGAGTTGACAGTTTCCTCTTCATCATTTTTATCAAACGAATGTGACATGTTGGACGCGTTGTGGTTATAAAGATTAAGTTCATCGGAATGTTAGATTCCCCGGTTGTACGTGACAAGGAGTAGGATCGCCTTTCCAACCTCGTGGGTTTTCTCCGGGTCCTCCGGTTTCCTCCCACTGCTAAAGACCCCTACACGCAAGCGAATTATTGAAATAAAATTGAACCATATGTTAGTCCCGAAATGACCTAGTTTGTGTCGAGTGGATGTTAAACCCTAGTTCTCTCTCTCATCGCAATGTTAGAAACAATTATAGTTCAAGAAATGTCATGGATTTATCATTACATGAATGAGAAGGGAATTACCGGTCTGAACCCAATTATGACCACTCACTAAAGAGATTTACTTCCCTTTATCCAGAAACCAAATTAATGGAAAACGAAAAAATGATGCTGACACATTTATTCTGTGCCTTGGTTTGAATTTGATGTCTAAATTCAATGTTGTCATTGAGCAGATAATTGACGAATGGTATTTCGGTCACAACAGAAGACGACTGTGTTTTAACACCTAGAAACTGATAGGTTTACCGATGAATTTTACTAATGCACTTTGTTGCCATTAAATGATTACTCTATAAATTAGTGAGAGATGGAGAGAGGATAGAGAGAGAGAGAGAGAAATGGGGTTTGAAGTTCACTCGACACAAACTAGGTCATTTCGGGACTAACACATGGTTCAATTTTATTTCAATAAATCACTTGCGCGTAGGAAATCGAAGCACCCAGAGAAAACCCACGATGTTGGACAGGTGACCCTACTCCTTGTCACGTACAACCGAGGAATCGAAAGCACGCCAGTTGACTGAATGACAGACCGCATGATACAGCCTCCACGTGCTAACCATTCGGCCATCCAACCCTACTCTAAACTAACGAGTAATGTTAAGTATGTAGGGCGCGTGGTTATAACATTATCCAAGAGTCATTATTAATTAAATTTATGACTCTACAATCTAATGTTTATAAGTATGTGGATCGTGGTTATTATTAATTAGTGAGTGTAACTAACTGTAAAACATGTCATGTCTAGTGTAAAAACGTGACTAGTTCTAATATCTGTTCATATTAAATACAGATATCCTCTACCAGCAGTTGACACGATCTTTACACAGTAATGATATAACACTTACTTAACTATCACCATCTCTCTCTCTCTCTCTCTCTCTCTCTCTCTCTTTAAACCGTTTTTTTAAACCTGCATTATTCAAGAGTTAAATCTGTCTATCGCAGGTCTTTCTTTGGGCCTTAGATGTTATATAAATGATTAATTAGACATCAATTAACATGACAAGACCATAATCAACTCTCTACTCTCTAGGGCATTGAATGGTCGCGATTTTCAATGGATTGAAACAAGGTCGTCATTTAATAATTTAATTCAAAAAAATGGATAATGGAGACTTTGTTTACTATCGTAAAAACAGTAGCAATGGCAATCGAGACTCGGCTATTCTCTAAACAGCCATACCTGAAATAATTCGACTGAATTTTCAACATATTTTCTTTTCATTATCTTTTCTGCAACTATTATAGCGATAACTGTCTGCTCATTATTTAAATCTTACATGAAATGAAATGGGGTTTAACGTCCGACTGTTCTGCTCCGACTGGGCTGATGAAGGCGGTCATACACCATACAGTGTGCTGTGAGGGAAATGTTTCCCGGACATCAGCACTACGGCCTACTCTTATATCGAATTTCAACTGTCAAGGGATCTTTTACGTGCACGCCAATATCTAAACGGGACTTCGGATTTTCGTTCCATCCTCTGTATGGCATATGCCCAACTTCATTATCCCAGTCGGAGCAGAACAGTAGGACGTCAAACCCCATTTCACATTTCATCTTGAATACACTAAGGGGGTACTCGATTGAACGTTCCGGAATTGAATTCTCTCAATCCCAAAAATAGTGACAATCGAGTGAAAAAGTGGATTTCTGGCTACAACTCATGCGTCGACTGAATAAGTAAATATCTCAACCAACCATGCAGCCGAAACCTTTTAATTACGTCACGTTGACTGGCGTGGTTTCGAATCCCCGGTTGTACGTGACAAGGAGTAGGGTCGCCTGTCCAACCTCGTGGGTTTTCTCCGGGTCCTCCGGTTTCCTCCCACTGCTAAAGACCCCTACGCGCAAGCGAATTATTGAAATAAAATTAAACCATATGTTAGTCCGGAAATGACCTTGTTTGTGTCGAGTGGACGTTAAACCCCATTTTTCTCTCTCTCTCTCTCTCTCTTTAATTACGTCACGATTCTACTCACACCACCTCCGTTATCGGGACTGACAGAACTGTGACAGAACTGAATTCCGCGTTACTCGATTGTAATTCTGTCAATTCGGGACGTTCTGGACTGTGAATCGAGCATCCCCTATATTTTAATGTCCTATTAACTAACCTCGTTGAAATATAGCTTTTAACTCGTTTTAGTTCGTATGCCCCCCCCCTCTCTCTCTCTCTCTCTCTCACACACACACACACACACCTTCTCTCTCGCCCCTATGTCTTCTCTCTCTCTCTCTCTCTCTCTCTCACACACACACCTTCTCTCTCGCCCCCTATGTCTTTCTCTCTCTCTCTCTCTCTCTCTCTCTCTCAAAGGAAATATTTATAGTATAAACTTGTTGTAGTTGATATCTGATGAAGGATGAAAGTTTATCCGTGTCTAGACTTTATATAAAAATAATATTTTCGTGATTGTATCCCGTATCTGCAGTTCATCGGCCTACATCGATTATACACTCCTCTATATGGAAGCTTAGTAATACCACCTTTTCTCGCATCGTTTAACGCCCTACTGTTCTGCGCCGTACGGGATAATGAAGACGGGCATACGCCATTGTGCCACTGCAGGGATAAAATTTCCCACGTAGCACACTGTATGGCCTATGCCCGGGGGGGGGGGGTCTGTTCTAGAGTAAAATTTTGCGTAGAATATAATGCCGAGTGGTAATCAGTCCGCCGTTGGGGCGTTTTCGAGATATTCGGGGTCAAAGGTCAAATGAGGTCATCTGCACTGAAAATGAATGCACAGCCATTCTTGTACCATGAAAACATGCTGGAAATGATCGAAAGTAATCAACCTTTCAATAAAAATGTTAACTTGCTAAATTCACCTTTGTCCTTTGTGACCCCGGAAGATTTAAAGCAATAAAATGTCAGTGTAAAATTTAAAAACTAAAGCTCTCACACGCCAAGCTGCCTTCCTGTTGATGTCTACTTTGTCTTGTGGTTCTGACGACTTATCTCCTGGATTTGGCGACTTGTCTGGTTGGTCTGTCGACTTGGCTTGTGGTTCTGTCGACTTTTCTCGTGGGACTGTCTACTTATCTCGTGGTTCTGTCGACTTGCCTCGTGGGTCTGTCGACTTGTCTCGTGGGTGTCGATTTATGGGCTTTCGTGATCGCGGCGATCGATATACCACACGGTGGTAGTAACAGGCGTCCATACTCCCCTTTCTTATCTGATCTGCATCAACTGCTGTGCAACACATAATTACATAGACTACCGAGAAAACCAAACCCTTGCAGTGTCTAATTCAGTTCATATAATACCCCAGGCAACGGGTTAATGCACCCCAATTGTAAGCAATTATTATAGAAAT